TATCCAATCGAGAGGTGTCTAAAGCTTCTTGGAAAAATTGTAGAAATAAAGCCAAGATTGAGGCTTCCGTGGAGAGGCCTCCGTTCTAGAGGAGGTGAGACCTTCACCTGAGCGTACTATCCGAGAAGCTTCCCGGCATGCACAATCCAACCCCTCGTTACGCGGCGGCGAGAACTCATCGATACTCGGCCTTTTCCAAGGGGATCTCGGGAGTGGAAGCGCAGGTACCAACAAGCGGTTGAACCATCGGAGTGGCGGACTATCATGTTCACATTGTTGATCAACCTTGATGAAGTGATTCCTTATCGTAAGTAAGTTCTCAATGAGCTTGTTACCTCGCCGTCACTATCCTCCATCTATCATGGTCTCGACCCTCTAGTTTCTTCCTTCTTTCGTGGAATTTATTAGTCAATCTTTGGAGAGGCAATAGGGCTCCTACCGAGCAAGAAGAAGACAATCTTCTTAGACACGGTGTGCCCGATTTCATCTCCCTGGTTCTGCTCTAAAGGTACCAACCAACTAACCTCTTTCCGACTTTGTGATTCCACTTTGCTCCCCGGGCGAGTTATGTAACGATCTCCTACCCTTGCGCAGGCCCGAACGGATGCGAAATGAGCGATGAATTGAAACAGGTGGGCCGTGGCTTCTCCGTAGGGTGAAGTCATTCACCGTTATGATGTGAATGGCTATCGCTTTTCGCACGCGAGAAGCTACGAGGAGAGTCGACCCAACCTAAAAACCATGTCTTTGCGGAGTTCGTGACGCCCGGCATGGATGGGAAGGACTACTACGGCATAGTCGAAGAGATATCGAGCTCAACTTTAAGGGTGCCGGGACTTTAGCGCGGTGGTATTCAAATGCCATTGGTTCGATCCTCGATATCACGAGGAAAGACCTTACGATAGGTCAAGTCGAGATTCGACGGGACTCGACTATAAAGGAGGCGATGTCTACATTGTGGCTAACCGAGACGCCACGCATAAGTTTATTACCTCCCATGGGCGTGCCAAAAGGCGAGAAGCTTGCGGGGTGGAGCCTTGTGCATTTGGTGTCGCTTGGCGACAAAGCGCCTCTCCCAAACGACAACGATTACAACTTTGACCCAAGCACCGATGAGTTCTATCAACACGAGGGGCTAGAAGGTACCTTGGAGATCGACATTGGTTCGCTCATGGGCATGGAAGTAGACAACGAAATCGATGAGGACGAGGGTGAGGAGGTGCAGGATGCGAGGACTTAAGAATGCTTGAGCGATGGCGGATGCAAAGTGCGATGGAGTTGTCCGGGAGGAGGTACATGATGATGACTATGGAGCGATGAGGATGATGATGGCGGTGATGACTTAAGGGAGCTCGACAATATTGATAGCGATGGCGGCGATAGTGATAGAGATGGCGACTCCACGCCGAGATATTGCCGTTCGCGGAGATAATTACGAGGCCATGTAATACTATATTGTTATTATTATGTTCCTTTACAAGTACTTGTCATTTATTTATGCTAATGGTTTTGTTCTTTGTCATTGCGGTGCACTCGACAAAATGCCAAAGTGAGATGGCGGCAATGGCCGCATCGAAAGCAAGACGCTCGGCGTACGAGTCCCCCACAGAGACCGCCGATGATGACAGCGAGGAGGAGGAGGAGGTGTTGGTGCGGTCGTGTCCGTCCGAGGGGGGTCCCCACCCCAATGGACGTCGCCGAGCGCGACGAGGAGGTCAGCTTGTTCTCGTCCTCGCAGGGGGACGACGTCAGGCGTGACGACGGCCTTGGCGGCAGCGACGGCGACGACGACGACGGCGGCGACGCGGCGACGACGCGCCTACACCGGCGTAGAGGCAACCCGACTTCGTCGTCGGCGTGGCCAAAGGTGTACTGCTGGCCCACGCCGCAGACTTCCTAGGGTGCGGCCGCAATTCCACCGGCCAAATACCGGTGATCACACCGTGGGCGGACGTAAGTAACCATTATTGATTTCACTACTTGTTCATATGACATGTCAAAATCGGCGAAGACTAACAATTGTTCTTAATGACTCGTGCGGTTCCTAGAAGATTGTGAGTGGAGCAGGTCAAGCACGCCATATCAATGGCATCCGAGGCCTCTGATTAAGGAGTACTACCTGGCCTTGTCAACGTCAACGGCGAGATGAAGGTGCCCACCAAGTGGTCCCACTTCTACCTCGTCGAGGAGGTGGCGAGACCATCGCGACAAAGATAAAGAGGGAGTTTTGGGTGAGTCTTTCATCGCACCGCATTGCTAAATAATACGCATTGTCGTCGGACTTCTTGCAAAAAGGAAATGCTACATGATGTGTGCGTATGCGGGACTTCTTCACGCGTGCGAGGAGGGTAAAGCGGCCCGGCGGGCGCGAGTGCGAGGCGATGCCGCAAAGATCGTCTCAAGGACTGTACCATGAGGCGCTGATACAGGCCATCCGCGACTTCCACGCCAAGCGTGCTTGGAGAGAACATCAAGAAGCCCCAAATCCGCGAGAGAATGAACTCGAGGGAGGCCGACCTCACCCAAGCGCATCTGGCGGTAATTAAGTATGACAACATTCGTTTCAGATTCCTTGGTGAAACATTACACTAATCTTCTCGCATGTCAAATACTTGATGTCATGCGGTGTGTGTCCGTCGTGGTGCGACAACCACGAGGAATCTTTGGACGGAGATTGTGCGCGCATGTGGCGCGCGGATGAAGCGTCTGTGGCCGCGCCGCCGCCGTCGGTCAGCCGCCGCAGCGCAGATCGAGGGGTGTCACACCACCAAGGGAATCAGCCCTCCCCGATTCGCGACAAGATGGGTATCGTCCGTTCATGTCTTAATCCTTGCGCTCTATTGTCAATATTTGTAACCATGTTTGTGTTTTCAATGCAGACGCAGACGCGCGGTGGGCGAAAATCAACGAGTACACGTACGCGACCTCTCTCACAAGGGCAAGGCGACCGATCCGAACAACGTCTACAACCCGGAGGACGGTCCCGTCGCGTACACCAACCCCACCGCCTACGAAGGCCACCAAGTACACCGTCGCGGCTCGCCCGGCGCTCACGGGGGAGGCGTTCGACCCACCGCCGAGCCCACGGACACAGACCTCCTGCAGAGGTTGGGACGAAGCAAAGACGGCCGCTACTACATGGCCCATAGCGCCCTCGACCTGTCCCGAGTTCCTCTGACGACCCGAGTTCGATCCACGCCCACGAGCTCGGCGACATCCCGTAAGCGCCCGGCGGCGATCGGCGTCACGGTAAGTGCCGTTTCGTTCGTCGTTCACTTTCGTTTCGCTTTTGTACATACAATCAACACTGCAGATGTAATATTGCGAGGCCCAGATGGAGGCCAAGATGGAGGAGAGGATAAATCACGTTGCGCGCAGATGATGGCGCAGCAGATGGCTTACCAAAACTGCAGCGGCACTACAACACTCGGATGCGAGAACATGGCGGCTTCTTCCGGTCCATGCAGGCCTTGCGGGCGTCTACACCGCCTCCTCTTCCAATGTTCGCTCCACCGCCTCCTCCTCCGAGTTTTTTCTGTACTGCTGCTCTCCTGTCGCTCTGGAGAGGACCCCGGTGAGTATATTGACTCTTGCTTTAACTTGTGCGTTCATCTGCAGATACTAATGACATCACTTGGCGTTTAACATGCGAGTATAGTCGGCGCGGTTCGAACCCGTCTCTCGGAGGTCCGGCCATCGATGATGTCGTATCCACCACCGCACCTATCCACCGTATCCACCTCGCGTGGCCCTCCTCCGAGCGTACTCGTGGCGCCGGTGAGGGGGAGGGTGGCGATGCTGTGGCGCCTCGATTTGGTACAAGGGGTTTCGTGGGCAAACCACAGGGGGCTCTGAGGCGGGAAGCGACGACGAGACCGGGGACGGCGCGACGAGCTAGGTATTTGTCGATTCTGTTATCATGTATCCACCGTATCGTCGAAGTTGTTGTCATGTATTTCTTTTCTTCGTTATGGACCTAGACTTGTTATGTTGAACTTACGTGTGATGGGCGTCGACTTGTGGTGTTCGACGTGTTGGACTTCATGTGATGGTTGTAATGCACTTGTGTGGTTGTTATTGTGACATATATGTGAGATATATGTGATGTTGTGCGTTATTGTGATATATGTGGTGATGTTGGCGACAAATGTGATGAAATTGTGATATAAATGGTGCTCTACGGTGCTTACGGTGAAATTGGATTATAATTTGTGATTTTTGCGAGGTTTTGATGCGAGAAAACAGAAAACAAAAGCAAAAAAAAAATTTCGAGCTTTTGGTTTGTTTTACGGTCGATCGGCAAAAGCTTTGGCAAAAACTCCAGACGAGTCTTTGCTTGATCGCAATGGGAGGCGATCGGCAAGAAGGTCAAACCTTTGCCGATTGCAACTCAAAGCGATCGGCAAAGAATATTTCAAAAAAATATTTTCTTTTTTTGCCGATGCGCTGAAATTTGGCGGCGATCGGCAAACAATTTTGAAAAAAATTCTTTGCCGATCGCCGAGGAACCAGCGATCGGCAAAGCCGCCGTCGGTGGATGCGCCGCGTGGCTATGCCGATTATTTGGCGTGGCGATTGGCAAAGGCTTTCTACGATCGTATGTATACGTGGCGATCGGCAAATCCGCCTTTGCCGACCCGGGCTTTGCCGATTGCTCTTTGCCGAGCGCCACGTGGCTTTGCGGTCGGCAAAGCCTTTGCCGACTGGGTTTATGCCTTTGCCGACCGGGGCAAGCAGTCGGCAAAGAGGCGTTTTCCTGTAGTGTAGTATGCTTTTGTAGCTGTTGCCCCAGCCTAGAAGTACTGGCTTGTATTCTTGTGGGAGGATCCGACGGGCGCTTCTCTTTGGGTCGGCAAAATCGTAACAGACTCCAGACTGGTTGATGAAGCCGATCACATCCACGTTGTCATCCCTCATGAGTAGGGTAGCCGATGACGACGATTCCTCGCCCTCCACCACTTGCAGCTGTGTAGCTTGATGCGAATCCACCTCACGGTTGTTCAGCACGCGGCTCGGGAGCAGTGGGTGTTTTCGCTACTCGAGATATTTGGGTCCACGTGGCGATCACAGATATCCTCACGGTCTTGGTGATCAGCGAGGATGACACGTAGATCCTTTATGAATTCAGTGAACGACGACCTTTGATCGTCAATGGTGTACGACAGTCCAGCTGGAGGTTGATCCTCCGCCATTTCGACGTCCTGCAGTTGTGATTTATTAGTTACTAGTGTTTAGAATAGAGTGCTTTGATCGTAAAGCAAGATACTCAGACAAATAGGAATGTAATCAGTAGTTTCATTCATCTCTGTTTGCGAACGAGGGCTCGCTCAGTGGTGCGTCAACCACCGGCGTTCACCAGGGTCTTTACCCATCTCCTATATATAGCCACAAGCGCACATATACGAGGGTGCTTGGTTTCCGGCCACAGCACGCTACGCCACAGTCTGTCAGCCACAGATATCGAAGTGACTGTTTGGTTGGTGGATACGCGTAGGCAGTCACGGAAAACCGTAGTGCAAATCGGATGGAATCTCGCCACACTTTGTGGCGGCCATTTTTTTCCGCCCCAACTGCGGCGATGCCGCAAGTGCACTGCCGGGCAACCAAACAACCCCTATATGCTAATATGCCACATTGGTTAAATGACATGTCGGCCACGCTCGGAGTCTTGTGATCTTCCGGTACCTTTTAGCTATGTTCGGTATCTATGTGTAGTCAGTGGCGGATGCACGTTCAACCTGTGGGATTTTGATTGCTGAATCCACCACTGTGTGTAGTTGTAGGTTTGTGTGTGTACATTACGTGAGTGTGTGAGGTGTGCGTCGAACCGGTGTGTCCAAGGGATGTGTCCGTTCGGTTCCTGTCTACGAATGAGATCAGCGGTTCGTTTCGCAACAACCAGTAAAAGAAGGAAACATAACAATGAATTAAATGCCTTTAATGTTTGGCGCACAACATGTACTGTGGTCGCTAATCCCTCGAAATGTTACCTTCACTGGTGCTTCCTGATTTGCTGCAGCATCACAGATTCCCAGGTTGCCAATCGCTGGGCTACATCTACTTGCTGGAACCCCCGGCCCGACCTGCAGCTCACCGTCACCGGCCGACTTCACGTCCAACATCTCCTGGTCAGGCGTATCTCCCATGGTGAATTCCTGTGCCAGTACATGAATTTAGTTAGTTCCTGCTACTACTATTCACTGAGTGATAACGGGTAAACCTAGAATTTAGACCATGCATGTTTGTCTTTACCACAGCTGTTGCAAAACATTAATTACCCAGTGTTGCATCAGAATAATCATTGTTTGTCATATATTCTCCTTATATACTCCCTCCCTCCGTCCCATAAAAATTGTTACTCTCCCAAATATTTTTAATTTTGACTAAATATACTTTTATAATAAACTCACTTAACGATATAAATATTGTTAATATTTTCTAAGGCATAGTCGAACTTAAAAAAAGTTTGACCAACATATTTCACAGATGGAGTATACCTTACGGCAGCTCAACCTTGTTACTAAGGTGGTACGCGGAGGGAGAAAGAAAAGCAGCAGAGGTGCAATACAATGCAGTACCTGTGCTAGACATGAAAATTTTGGCACCGAAGCTTGAGTTGGCAACAGGTTCCTAACATGAAAAATCATTTTCTTCTAGAGAAAACCAAAGAAGACCGGCACCACCTGCCAGAGTGCTGGGCAAGACCGCAAGAGACGGATACAGTGGAAAGATTGTTTACTTGTTTATACTTGATGGTTTCCTATACATTAGGATCTGTTCGTTTGAACTTATCAGCCGGCTTATCAGTTAGAATCTACATGATTTTTCTCTCACAACAAAACAGCTTCAATCGACTTATTAGCCGACTTTAATACTCAGCCGAACAGACCGATTTCCTAAGTTAGATACTCTGACGTGGCATTATCTTTGAACCATTGTATCTTCCAAACGTTAAGGTTGCCCTAAATATCAGCCGTGCTTTAGCTTATTCTCTCTTACGAACACTCTTTGAATCAGCCGAAATTAGCTGTAAACGTATCAGCCAAACAGCCCCAAGAGTTTGGCTACATCATGTGGGATATGTACTCTGTAGTTATAACTCTGGCATTAACCAAATCGCTGCCACGGAAAATTGGTACATTAGTACACATAGCAAACAGAGAAATAATTAATAAACCTCAAAACTATGTGCATACATATTACTATGAACCTACATATTACTATGAACATCAAATATTCTCTGAGATCCATGCACATGAGAAAACAATCAAATTCTGTCAGGTGACTGGTTGAATCTCTCTCTTTTTTAAACGCAAGTGGCCCTTTCAATTAAAAAGAAAGAGTCATATATACAGAGAGGGGCAAAGAGCCCAAAAGACACTGGCTGCACGCCTCAAAACTATGTGACTGGTTGAATCTCAGAGAAGACTAGAGGGTGATGTCATAATTGCACATATATTGAAGGTGAAGATTCCAAGCCCAACAGAAAGTGTGGTAATGATAGCCATTACCACACTTTATGTTACAAATTTGACGACCCCAACGGAGGCTCAAATTTAATCCTTACCAGACATCCTAGGGAAAAATAAATCAAAGAAATTATCACAGAAAATCAGGAACATCTTGACATCAATTTCATATAATCTAGTAATCATCAGTGATAATGATAGCCATTAATTCTGTTCTGTTTTCGAAAAAAAACTACTTGTACTTGTCGTTATAAATAAAATAGCTCAAAGTAATCCCTTTATTTGCATCTAAATTACACACATGTAAATATCTTCGGAGACAAAAATATTGTTCACATCATTCATGGATATAGATATACATTATGTCGGGTTCATAAATCCGGGGTCCCTAATGGACCTGCTCCTCAGCGGAAGCTTGGCCCAGCAGACGATGTTGCGAAACGACGCACAACTCCTGGGCCGGCCCAAATACCTAACGACAGGCCAGAAGGGCGATCCAGTCTCTGACCGTAAGGCCTGGCCAAGAAGGAACAACGCTCACTTCCGACTCTACCCGCCTCTCCGACTGAAAGGCCTGGCCGAAGAGGAACGATGCTCGCCTCCGACTCCGACCAACTTCTTCGACCGAAAGGCCTGGCCAGCGCTACTTCTAACTCCGACCCGCGTCTCCGATCGGGGATGCACCAAACCTCAGCTTACAGCTCGTCTTCGACTAGAATAGTCGGAGCCGACCGGGACCAACCGACCGGGGACGCCCGCTCAGTAAGGACCTAGGAAACGAGCAGAGCAAGTAAGGCAGGGCACTCAAGACAACCGTAATACCGAAGACCGTACCCTGCACACCTGCAGGACAGTACCGACAGGACATGTCAGAAGAGTGCCTTGCAACCTTCCAGACATGTCAGAACCCAAATAGTGTTGACGGCGCCAACATTTGCCCTACAGTGTTGTGGGCGTCATCAATTCCCATACCAGGCTAGCACGATAAGGCCCCCCACATGCACCTAGGCATCCACAGTGTTGTGGATGTCGGCATTTACCATACCTGGTGCAACATGGTAAAAGCTCCCACATGCGTCTGACATTAAACAGTATTGTGGGCGCCTACAATTATCTTGTACTCGACGGCATGGGCAACAAGACTTAGTAGCATGCATACGCACTCTCCCTCTCTCTCTCACTTGTAAGGTCGTCCCCTTCATCTATAAAATGGGATGCACTCTCTCCCAACAAGGATGAGTCAGACGGATCACTCAGATTCACCCCCTGCTAGCTTTAGACACTCTAAAGCTACACAGAGCACTCGCTCGAACACTCAGCGCACGTAGGAACTCCTGTCACTCTCGGCCCTTCAGACCAGAGTCTGATCAGACCTCTTGCACCCCCATCTTACTCCCTCTCATTTGTAACCCCACAGCAAACTTCGAACACCTATGCTCAGGAATAAAGTCACCGACCGACTCAAACTGGACGTAAGCCTGAACCATTATAAACCCTGTGTCATTGAGTGCTAGACCACATCCGATCACAATGTACGACAAAACTACAAATATTTACTTGTTGGTCACTTTCTGCACCGATAGTTGGCGCCGTCCGTGGGGAGGACGTCATACATTCGCGCTTTTTGGTCATCGGATGGTCCACCTTTCCACCATCTTCGGCGTGGCGGGCTCAAGCGATATGACTCACTTCGGCTCACTAGAGTTTCCCGTGCTTCCACCTGTTGGGATGCGGGTTCCTCCCGTCTTCGAGCCATCCCAGCCCTTCCACTTTGGAAGCCTGGACTTCGTCGCCGACCGGCTCGGCATGCTTCGCCTTCATGAGGAGGTGCTCGTCCCGGCACCTGTCAGAGGCGGAACGCCCTCTGTCATCTCCGAGCCACCCGGCGACCTCAACGACGGGGCGCCTGCGCTTCGCTCCGAGCCCATGCTAGGCTAAGACCCACTGTGAGTAACGTACATTTTGTTCTTTACTCACTATTTACTATGTTCTGGCGATTATCCGGAGGGACCCCATTGTTCGCACCGCAGCCACCATACGGCTAGTTCCTCTATGGCCTCGAGTCCCCTGCGAACACATACGCCTGAGGGCTCCGAAAGATACTGACACCACCTCCTCTCACATCCGAATTCGTGGGGATGGCGAGCTACACTCCCGCCTCTTTCCATGACCTTGTGGATGACAAGATTGAGAGCGACGGCTCTAGCATCGGCGGCATGGCACCTAGTCACCCTCTGTCCTAGGAGTGCGCTATGGCGGACGCCCCGGTGAAAGCTCTAGTTTGGTTTTGGTGAATTGATGAAACCCTAAGTGCTAACCTAGTTTATCAAAGTGATTATGAGATAGGTAGCCCTACTTCAAGTGGTGAAGCAAATGAAGATCGTGACATGATGATGATGATGGCATGGTGATGATAAAATGCTTGGACTTGGAAAAGAAGAAAGAAAAATAAAAGGCTTAAGGCAAAGGTATAAGTGGTAGGAGCCATTTTATTTTGATGATCAAGACAATTAGTGAGTGTGATCACATTTAGGATCGATAGCCGTACTATTAAGAGGGGTGAAACTCGTATCGAAATGCGGTAATCAAAGTGCCACTAGATGTTCTAACTCATTGCATATGCATTTAGGATCTAGTGGCGTGCTAACACCCTTGAAAACATTTGTCAAAATATGCTAACATATGTGCATAAAGTGATACACTTGGTGGTTGGCACATTTGAGCAAGAGTTCGAAACTTCATCGGCAGAGTGTCCGTCCTATACAGAAAAGATAGGGTTTCACAGAGTGCACCAAATGCTGGTCACACAGTGACTGGACGCTGGGTCCTGCGTCCGGTTAGTGGTGCACAGTGAAGGCCACCCTCGGTCTCTTGATGAGCAAAATAAAAGAAGCATGTTGAGACATGTAATGTAGGCTTTAATTGATGAATCATTATCTATGCCTATCATTGTTGCTCCTGCTAACCCTTCTTATAGCACTTCAACTTCCACCTCATCTAGTAGTGATGGTTTTACTTATGATGCCTCACTAATGGTTGATAATGAGACCCTCAAGAAGGAGGTCAATGAGCTCACTCACACCTTGGCTAAGGCCTATGGTGGTAAGAACCGCTTGTTTATGTGCTTGGGTAGCCAAAGAGCTTCTCTCTACAAAGAGGATTGGGCTATACCCCTAAGAAAGGCAAAATGGCCTTTGCTCCTCACAAGACTAGTTTTGTGAAGAACAATGGTCGGTTTTGCACTAGTTGCAAGCAAGTTGGTCATAAAGAGCATGAGTGCAAGAACAAGAGCAAAAATGCTAATGTATCCTCCATTAAACTTGATTCTTTCTATATGCTTACCAAGGATGCAAATGGTGTAAAGGCTAAGTTCATTGGTACACCATGAATGGGCTCAAAGAAGAAAGCCATTTGGGTACCAAAGAGCTTGGTTGCTAACCTTCAAGGACCCAAGCAAGTTTGGGTACCTAAAAGGAATTGATCTTCTTTTGTAGGTCAATTACAAAGCTGGAGGAAGGCATTGGATTCTTGATAGTGGGTGCACTCAACACATGAAAGGTGATGCAAGAATGTTCAACTCAATCAACACCAATGGCAATGATGGTTATGATAGTATCACATTTGGTGACAATGGCAAAGGCAAGGTCAAAGGGCTTGGTAAGACTGCAATATCTAAT